GTAGTCGAATGCATGTTTATTTTTAAAAATATGATTTTGCTGTAAAAATAGCTTTTCAGCAGTGCCTGTTATATATCTGTATTTATTCTGGTAACTAATGGATTGAGTTATCTTTCTGAAAATAATTTTCTAAGGTATGACTGAAAATATCCTATTCAAGTGTTCAGAAGAGGTATTGATTACCCATCCTGAACTGGTTCAAATATGAAGCAAGCTTCAGTAAAAAACATTCTTCACCCTTAGTATAACTTGTTTCTTGTATGTCCCATTGTATTTTTTTCCTAGTGACCAATGATAAAAGTGCTTCCATTTGATTACTTAAGTCGCTAATAGGTGTTCTTGGATTCTGTTAGCGAATTCTGGTTTCAGCAATCTTGTTGCTAAGTAAACTAGTATTTAGCCTTGTGGCATTTCAATATTTTATTGGTTTACCTTAATCAATGAGTATACGATAATCAATAAGCAATATATAAAAAGCACTCATTTTTATAGGACAGTAGACTGCAAGAATGAATGGGACAAATATCTTTTAAATACAATTTTAAATACAATTTATTGAAACATAATGTACCTTGCTGTCCACCTAAAAAAGTAAATTTCTGTCTATATATATGAGTAAACGAGGCATAAGTGTATGAAAAAGCTTAAGATGTTGTCTTTCTGAGTGAGAAGTAAGGACTGAGAACAGATCTGATAAGTTTTGTCGAAATTGTTGTTCAAATACTTATTCAGTTGTATTGGATACAGAAAGGCAAAATGGCCTGAAGTGTTCGGCATATTTTGCAGAATTGAAGTTTATGAAGTGGTATGTGTGTTTAGCATATTTCGATGCTTTAGCCCAGTGTTTTTTAATCTTTTTCATAAGTAAAATTTTCAAGGTCCACTTTTATTTTGGAAAATCTAGTTTGCTTCATTAGCATGGTTTTAATGCAGTATTGTGTAAATGGATCATTTGCAACAAAAATTACAATTATTTAGAATAATATTTATTTACTTCAAAAGGAATTTCAAAAATTTTCCCAACAGTTCTTAAAATATCATATTCAAACAGGACTTTTCAGTTTTAATGAGATAATTCGTACTGCTTTTTATTATCGCAGATATATTTAATATTAGGCTTTATGGGTGGAAACTGAATTTTCATATCAGGTCTGTTGCAATATTAATTTTTTTCGACTCATAAGCTGAGAACTGCATATATGTAGTTGCAAATTGTAAAAGTGCCAACACGGCCTTTTGTGATAATTGAGGATATTCATTATTTAAACTGCATTAGAATTACACTAGTGACATGAATATAATTTTTTCTTGCAACAATAAATTAGATTGCATTTCAATAAAAACTTCATATTCTTCGGTTGACATCGTCAAAGGTCATGGATTGACAATAAATGGGTTAAGCAAGAATTTTTTTCAAGAGTGGTAAATAAGGAGGGTAAAAAAAGTATTTGCACTTGCCTATATTTCATCATATTAGCTAACAAAGGTAATGCTTGGCAATTTTAGCTATTACAATGAACACAGGAGGTAATGAACACACAAATCTAATGAAACTTTCATTTTATTATGCCTTTTACACAAAATATACAAATAAAATGTAAACTTTGTATGTCAAAAAAGTATTAGCAAGATCATACAGCAAAATGTGGGAACGTTTAATTCTTTATATTCATACCTTTTGTATTTATAACAGCATGTAATCTGTTTTTCATAGAGAAAAACCTTGTTTGTACTATTGGGAATTTTGTGTCATTCTTGCAGGAATATAAGCTTAAGTTCATCTTTACACGAAATTTTATGTTTTTTCACGTCTAGGTTAAATTTGGGACATAAATTTTCAATTGGATTTATGTCAGATGATTTAGGCGGTATCTTTAACTGGTGAAGAGCCTTACACGGTAACCACTCTCGGGTGAGGTTTGCTGTATGCTTAGGGTCATTGTCCTGTTGAAACACGAATGATGTTCCTAAGCTAAGATTTTGGGCATTGAATTTCAAGTCATGGCGCTATATGTCAATGTATGTACGTACTATCATAATACCATCAATGAAGCACAAGTTACCAACACATTTTTTAACGTGGGTGGGTTGGTGGTTGCTGCCATACAGTCAAAAAATCACGGTGCTTGTTCCACCATGTTTCACAGTAGGTGTTAAATGCTGTTTTTCGAGTTCGGTGTTTGGTTTTTTCCACACATATTGTTGTCCATCACTCCCGAAATCTTAAACTTCGATTCGTGGGAGAAAATAACTGTTCCAAAACTCGCCTGATAAATTAACATGAGATTTTGCAAAATCTAATCTGTTTCTCCTGTTCATTTTTGAAATTAAAGGTTTTTTCCCCTTGCTGCCCTTCCATAATAGCTTCCTTCATGTAAAAAATTCCGTATAGTATCTACACTAAAAGTTTTATGCAAAGTATTAGCAACATCTTTGGCTGACCCCCCCCCCTAGGGTGCACTTAGTTTATGGTTTTTCTTAACCTCTTTGATAATGCCTTATTTTCACTTGCAGAAAATATTCAAGGCCATCCACTTCTAATTTTATTTTATGTTGATCTTGTCTCGTTGAACTTTCCTACAACACTTCTGACAGTAATTAAACTCATGTTTAGTTGTATTACTATAGTATGATAATATAAACTCTCATTTCTGAGCCAAATAATCATGTTTTTACCATTAACATCCAACTCCTTCGACTTCGAAGTCATTTTATCACAGTATTAGCAAAATAACGTATTAAAAGAGCGCTGCAGACCTTATAATAACAGGATTTCTTATCAGTCTAAATACGTGACCGCAACATAACAAAATTTGCATAGCAATGAGAACTTTGCCATTTGCAAATTTTTGTTTTTGTTGTATATTTTGTGTAAAAGACATATTAAAATGAAAATTTCATTAGATTTGTGTGTTAATTACCTCCTGTGTTCATTATGTCCAGCTAAAATTGTCAAGCATTTCCTTTGTTAGATAATAGGATCAGTTATAGGACATTACCAATATTTTTTTACCCACTGTGTATTTGCTTTTTTGCTCTGAAGGCTTAAGTTCATTGATCTTTGTAAAAATGCCGCTTTAAATATGCAGTATTTCCTCGAAATAACCATCTAGCCTTTAGCATGTAAAACGAGATGTGTGTACACCTCACATGTCCTCATGTAATCTTTTGAATGAACAATTATGTAGTCTGTGAGATTTTATGAATTTAATAACTTTGACAACCTCATCGAGAATAGTAAGAACAGTTATATCTAAATGGGGGATAAATTTTTGCAGCAAGTGACTGCCAGTGGATGAATAATTTTTGGCGATATTTTTATAAACCGTAACAGTGGAATATAAAACACAAACTATCTATTAATACAATTTCTAAGTTTTTAAAAGCTCAAAGTCAGAATATAACAGGCTTCTGACAGTAATTAAACTCATGTTCAGTTGTATTACTGTAGTATGATAATATAAACTCTCATTTCTGAGCCAAATAATCATGTTTTTACTATTAACATCCAACTCCTTCGACTTCGAAGTCATTTTATCACAGTATTAGCAAAATAACGTGTTAAAAGAGCGCTGCAGACCTTATACTAACAGGATTTCTTATCAGTCTAAATGCGTGACCTCAACATAACAAAATTTGCATAGCTATGAGAACTTTGCCATTACCAAATTTGCCATTTGCAAATTTTTGTTTTTGTTGTATATTTTGTGTAAAAGACATATTAAAATGAAAGTTTCATTAGATTTGTGTGTTAATTACCTCCCGTGTTTATTATGTCCAGCTAAAATTGTCAAGCATTTCCTGAAGACTTAAGTTCATTGATCTTTGTAAAAATGCCGCTTAAATATGCAGTATTTCCTTGAGATAACCATCTAGCCTTTAGCATGTAAAACAAGAGATGTGTGTACATCTCACATGTCCTCATGTAATCTTTTGAATGAACAATTATTTAGTCTGTGAGATTTTATGAATTTAATAACTTTGACAACCTCATCGAGAACAGTAAGAACAGCTGCATCTAATTGGGGGATAAATTTTTGCAGCAAGTGACTGCCAGTGGATGAATAATTTTTGGCGATATTTTTATAAACCGTAACAGGAATATAAAACACAAACTATCTATTAATACAATTTCTAAGTTTTAAAAGCTCAAAGTCAGAATATAACAGCTCATCTCCATCTGCACTGATTACATGGTACTTGATAAATAATGGAACAGTATCCAATTTGTTATACCGCAATATCGCGCGATTTGCAATGCATCCAGCCTAATAAATTTGTGCCTTAAGGACATTTCATGTATGGAAATACATCAGCTGAATTCCCTAAATGAAAACTAATAAACGTTGAAAATAGAAGGTAGAAGGAAGAAAATATTACATGCCTTTTTGTACCCAAACAAAGTTAATGAACTAATCAGGAGATAAGAATTTGAATGTAGAATGAAAGTCCTAATAGGTTTCCACAAAAGAAGATACACAAAAACAAGCAATACTTTGAGATAGAAACAAAATATAAACTATGTACAATATAAACGAATGCATGAGCAAAATTTGACGTTGCAAAAGTTAAATCAGTTTGGAGATGAGCTACATAAGTACATAGGTCTTTTCCTTCCTAAGTATTTCATATTTTAAATGGATTTGCAGAGCGGGCTTTAACATCTGCTGCAGACCACATGACAGGATAACATTTTCATTTGGAAGGTGCACGCCGTAGAATGTAGCGGCAATTTTGATTCTTCTCGTATCTCTTTAAGTGTTGAAAAATAAATGTTTGTCTATTATCCTGGTTAGATTTCCTTATAATTTACATTATGGCCAAGGTGTTGTCTTTTTACTTCTATTCTTATGGAAGAGTATATGTGATGTGATGTTAATAACCATTACAGTATGCTAATAAGCAAAAACTTTCAATCAATTTATATTTTCTAAGACACAGTTTAACAGTGACTGTAACGCCTGGTTACTCGCAGCACCCTTTTATATTCAAATGTACAGGATTCTCCAGCATTTCTAGACCTGCAGGATTTCCTATGTGCAACGATCAATAAAGAAATGAGCCAGTGAATCGCTGATACCGGAATTCTGAGTGATTCCCCAATGCAGCTGCTGTCAAATACCAAAACGTGTCACGATGGTACCGTCAAAACTTGCTTCGTCAGACTATCCAGATTAGTAAGCAATGGTTAGTTCTTATTCTACTTTTTTAATTTTTTAAAGGCTTTAATTTTTATTGGGTGTTTTTTCAAGTTACTTTTATGAATATTGCGGAAAGAAGCATATAAGTTTTGCAGAACCCTTGACTGATCTCAGAGTTGTAGCTAGGGTTTTCAGCGCCCAGGGACAACTGAAGATTTCGCGCCCCCTACTGCTTGCCAAGAATGGAAAACATTTAATTCTAAAATTTCGTAACATCAGTTTGGCGCTCCTCGGATTCTGCGCCCGGGGACAGATGCCCCCCTTGCCCCCATCTAGCTACGCCCCCTGACTGATCTCCACAGAACCTCATGGTTCTTAAAATTCCGTGGAACACAGTTTAAGAAATTATACTTTAATGAGTGTACACGCATGGTAGTAAAATCTAAGAAAGATACGTAGAATGTTTATTCGTTCCATTCTGGCAAGATCATGCAAAGTGAGAAGGTCTTCATGATAAAATTTCTTGAAACAGTTTGAAAATGATAGATTCATTAGCAAAACTCTAGAATCTCTCGATATTTGAAGGAGGTGATATGAATTCTGCATAGAAATTAGTGGCAGGGGCAGTCTGATTTCCTTTAGAGTCTAAGAATGCTTGAAATCTTGTAGGGCTGTATTGAATATGGAGAGAATGTGCATTGTAGTCTTTTTCTTTTCTTTTATGCTTTACGTTTCCGCATAATTGCCGTAAAACAAAATATTGAAGATATTTATAATCAGTTGAAAAGTTGCAGAATAAATGGATCTGTTTGCAATAGTTAATGAATCCAAAACTTTTTATTTTGAGTTTTGACTGTTGAATATGGAATGGTTCTTTCTTAAAGCATGTCAGGATTTTGTGTGCAATAGGTGTTTTAATATTTCACAGTAGTTTTTATTTTCTGACTAAAGTTTGCTTTCAAACTGTGAATTTATAAATCATTTAAAAAGACAAATATATACAAACAATATTGTTAAAGATGCTTTTTAATACTTTAATACAACATATTGCTTCAGCATGCCAAGAAAAATAAATATTTTGTTCTCTTAAAGCATTTAAGAGAACAAAGTACAGTACAAAGTCTTTAATCTGGACGTCCATAATCCGGAATGATCTATAATCCGGACCTCAAAGCTAAAAACGTTCTGCGTATGCGTAAACGCATTTTGCGTTTACGCATGCGCGTTTAATGTATAACGGATGGTATAAGCTAGGCTAAAATTATCTAATTATCTATTTTAGTTAATGTTTCAGATTGCGTTGTTCCTTAATCTTCTAATTGGATCCGGCTTATTATTTTTTGCAGACTGTTAGAGCAATTTTATAAAAAGGAAGCTTGAACTTTCGATTATGTCAAAAAGAGTTTCCGTTTCTGGAGCTGCCAAAGGATCTACAAAGCGAAAACATGTTTCGATGTGTCGCTTCCGATAGTGAAGAAAGTGACAGAGAAGTTATTGAAAACGAAAAAATTTCGATTGACAAGTTAGTCGGTATTCTCGACACAGCAATTACAGGACTTGAACAGTGGAACTGAAGAAGAAATTATGTCTGTTTATAGAATTAAAGAGAAAGTATTAGCGCAAAAAAGAAGCAACTTAATAAAGTAAACAAGTCACTATTAAGCCTTTTTTTTTTTTTTTTTTGTAAATTTTGATACCCTTCAGATCATAATTGTTCTTTATTTCATAAGTTACGCTTTCATATTTTTAATTTTATAATTTCTGCATGCCATCTACCAGATTTAAATTGATGATCTATAATGCGGAAAAACCCATAATCCGGAATCGCCGAAGGTCCCGACGAGTCCGGATTAAAAACTTTGTACTGGATTTATTTTTCTCAGAAGAAAGAGTATATTTCATTATACTTATTGTATCTGTTATGCTTTGAACCTCTTTGAAAGGATAATGATGGTCAAGCTGTTCAGTTTGTTTGCAAAATTAATCTTGCGCCAATTTCTATAAAATATTTTTCAATATAAAGAAAGTAACATAACATTTTATATTAATGAAAAAATGTCTGTTTTCACTAGAAATAGTTTTAACAAGAAATATTTTAAATTAATTGCAAAACTGATCATTTGTAAGTGCAGAAATCACTTCTCAGATGCATTTTTAACACTTATGGATAAAATTTGTTTCTTCAATTTAGACAAGTAATTTAATTTTCAATCTATCAAGTAATTCTGTAAAATTTGGCAATGGTAAGATCTTTTTGTCTGAGAAAGAAGATTAGAGGCTTGTGGTATTTAGCCCTATGGAAACCGATCTTAAACTCATTGTGTTTGTATTAAAGATGTTTAGTTTTTGAAAATGGCAAATATTTATATAGGACTTAGAAATAAATTTGAAAATACTACGTACGTCCAGAAAGTAAGTTCCGTTTGGTAATAAAAGTAAATTGTGTACAGCTACAGAAAAGTTATTTATTGCACAAAATTCAACAACTCTTAAACTACTTTTCCACATAACTGCCGAAATATTGCAGGCATTTGTCATAGCGTGGCACAAGTTTTTGTATACCTTCTTCATATAGAAATTTGCCGCCTGTGTCTTCAACCAGTTGGAAACAATTTCTTTCAGCTCGTCGTCATTGTAGAAGTGTGACCGCCAAGGAAAGACTTAAGATGTAAGAACAGATGAAAATCGCTAGGAGCGAGGTCAGGGCTGTACGGAGGATGGTCAAACACGTCCCAGCCAAATCCCTGTAGGAGGTTTTTCGTCACATTTGCAGTGTGTGGTCGTGCGTTGTCGTGAAGAAAAACAACACCTTTTGACAGCAATCCTCGGCGCTTATTCTGTATTGCGCGGCGCAATTTCCGAAGTGTCTCGCAATAAGCATCTGCTCTGATTGTTTGACCACGCGGTAAGAAATCAATGAGTAAGACGCCTTTCCAGTCCCAGAACACTGTGCACATCATTTTTCGAGGTGTCAAGATTTGCTTCGGCTTAACCTTTGCTGGGGATGAAGTGTGCCTCCATTCCATTGATTGCCGCTTACTTTCAGGGGTGTCGTAAGAAACCCAAGTTTCATCTCCTGTGACTATCTGTGTCAGAAATTCTTCGCCGCTTTCAGCATAACGGGTCAAAAACTGAAGTACACTACCCATCCGTTTTGTTTTGTGTTGCTCAGTAAGAATCTTTGGTACCCAACGTGAGCAAAGTTTACGAAATTTCAGTTTTTCGGTAACAATTTCATGCATTAGTGATCGTGAAATTTGGGGAAATTCCATAGCGAGAGCACTAATTGTAAACCTTCGGTTTTCATGGATCTTGTCATCAATCCCGTGAACCAGTTCTTCTGTAACCAAAGATGGACGCCCACTTCGTTCTTCATCGTGCACATCACTACGTCCGTCATTGAACTTTCGAACCCATCTTCTCACCATTGAATCACTCATCGATTTTGGTCCGTAAACATCGCAAATTTGCCGATAAATTTCAATAGGTTTCACTTTCCTCGCATTCAGAAAACGAATCACAGATCTGATTTCACAAGCGGCGGGATTTTCAATCAATACCGACATTGTAAACAAGCACAACAAAGCGTACGTGACTGACAGCGATCTCCAAATAACGCAAGTCTCTTCTCCTTGATACAGAGCGTCTACTGCGCATGTGCGGAACTGCGATCGCAGAGCTGCAGCGGAGATAAATTGAAACGGAACTTACTTTCTGGACCTGCCTCGTATATATTTCTTGTTATGAAACTTAAAACAGACTATTAATTTCTGCATCGAGATATGTATTTTTATTTCAAAAAGTGAAACTCTTCTCTATTAAGAATTTTCAATGATCCTTGTTATATATATATATATATTGTGAAAAGATGGCATTACCGTGTACAAGAAATGTCAAGTCATTGGGGAAACGTAGTTAAAACTTTCTTCCTTTTAAGAGTTTCTTTCAGTATAATTGGATGAAATGAAAAGAATTTTGATGATTTTCCTCTTCACATTTATTATATATATACATGTATGTATGTATGCATTACTTTAAAAAATTAGACCTTTTGGTATATTTTATTTAATAAATGGAAAATAGGCTGAACATCTTAAATAATATTTTGAAATTCATATATTTTTCTTTTCATATTTTTGAAGTCAATAAAATGTAGAGGCATTTACCTCGCTTTTCCAGAAATGTTTTATGTTTGAAAATGGATTTACATTTGCTACTTATTTCTGAATCGTTGTACAAACCAGTCTTCAACCAAAGTTTTGTATTTGTTATACTATTACGTTTCTGTATTTCTGTATATTTTCATTGAATGGTTGATTAAGAATGTTAGGATAAATTTTGGGGTTAATATGAAATTAGTTTTTGTCAAAATATTAATTCTCTAGTATGTGATATATTCTCAACATGAACATACATTCTCTGAAATTCTTGGCTTAAAAGTAAAATGGAATAATTTCAACATTTCAGGTTTTCTACTTTGCTTGGCAATAAATGAAATTTTATGTCTATGTTATCGGTCTTTTAGATTTGATGTTAGGATACATTATTTATTATTTCTAGTTGAGCTTAAAATGAATCAGTCATTCAACAATGAAACTGGTAAAGCTGTGAAACATTTCAGTGTATACATTAAATGTGTAGACAAAGATGTCTTGTACTGTTCATAAGTAGGAGGAAGAGCTTTTGTATTTTTTCCTTTAATCAAAAAAATGTAAAACACAAGTAGTTTGATGTTTTGAATTCTTATGTTCTGTTACCGTCTAAATGACACATATCTTTAAATATGAAAAGCATTACATTTTTTACATTTTCCTGCCATTTGTTGTCTTAAAAAAGGAAATAATAAAATGTATTTATAAGTGTTTATTAAGTGTGCAGATAAGTAAACAGAAGGAACTATATAATCGGAATCTATTTCTTTTCACATTCTTGAAATGTTACTATGTTATTAAAAGAGTAACTGGAATGTCCAAGTGATGTTCTTATTATAGAAAATATTACTAAATGTGCTTATAAAAATGGAACAAATTTCACCTAATGGTACCTGATATTGTGCATAGCAGTGAATGATTTCAGAAATGCTTCAGTAAAGTGACAGACAGCTGTGTTCATTGTGACAGACATTTTGTTCCCTTAAAAATAAGTAATATCTGTTTTGTTGCAGAAGAAGAAAGAAATAGGATCTTACTGTTTTATCTAAAAAATAGTTGTGTTCTGGCATCAGTATTACTTGTTTGAAAAGTTTAAGAATTTAATAACATCTCGAGCTATGTTCTCAGGGCTAAAATCATTTGGAAAGAAGATTTTTCTATAAAAGATGGATTCCCCCCCCCCAGAAAAGATATAGGTAAAGTTAATTCTGAAAAGTGAATTTTGA